ATGAATGGAAATGTTTCCGAATGGTATAACGAATGCGACAATGCCATTAGAAGGTCAGAAATAGTTCCTGGAACTTACGAATATACAACTGCTGTTTCTTATGGAAATGTAGGTGAGTTTGGAGAAGGTTCTTCAACAACAGTAGATATTGCTTGCGACAGGTTTCATATAATTTCTATTGACAACTCTTTCTTATACGTGGAACAAGACATTGAAATAAAACCTTCTGCCAAGTTGTTGACAAGAAAGGTTGCAATGGAATTTTCTATGTCGGATACCAATATGCTCCAGAAGTTTTCATGGGATATAAGATATATTCTAACTCTGACTTAGTTCAAACAGTAACATGGGCAAACTATGAATGGTTCGCTTTGAGAAACTCAGTACAACCACAAGCTAGAGAACAAACAGACCAGTATGCAACTATTGAGAAAATAAGAAGACTTGACCCTAACGTTCCAGGAGTTTATGTTAACCTTTCTGGTTCAGATGGAAATGCTGTCACTAAAGTAAAACTGAAACTTAGAGTTCCTTTGTCATCTTTCCTCATCTTCAGGTTTTTAAGATACTTGCCAAACTGGGCAGGAAAAATTTCTATTGAACTTACTCCAAGCAAAATAACTTAGTCATTGCACCAACACAAGACCCATTCACTCTTACAGAAGTAGTGGGAACAAATAAAACGTCATTCGCCGACTTTTGCAAAGACAAAGTTGACTTAGACTTTGGTTTCTCAAACCTCAACACTGAAGTAAACTATTATTTCAATGCTGCTGGAACTGCTTGGGACCCAGTTAAGTTCACATGCGAAAAATTTGAATGCAAGAGAATAGAAAGCAGACTTGCGTTTATATGTTGGACCCAGATATTTCAAATGCTTTAGCTGCCAAATATATTGCAGTTCCACTTATGTTCCCTATACACCAAATATCTGTCAAAGACTTTGCAGGTGAAGTTGGAAACCAAAGTGCTGACCCAGGTGCAAGAACAGATATTGCTTTAACAACTGCAATGAAACATGCAGATACTATGTTTGTACTGTTCAGACGAACTATAAATGACTATTCTTGTTTCTACAACCCGGTATTAAATATCATATAAACATAGATGGCAAATATTATCCAAGAGAAGAATATTCTACAGTTGAGGATATGAGGTCATACAACTTGACATTAGATGCTATGAACTTTAACAACAACTTCACAACAACCATTAACCCTGAAATGCAAAGTTCTATTATGCCATATGTGAAAGTATGGACTCATACAGGAGGTCAAAAAACTCAATATACAAATGGAGACCGTTCAAACTTTTGGCTTGGCATTCCATTTGCTGACTCAGAAGACTTTATGGGTGGTATTTCAACTGTTGGTACAGTTCAAATACAATATACTGGTGACAGAGACGGTCCAGAATGAATTGAAAGCAAAGAAGTTTACAAAACCAATAGCACTTTTCACGGAAGATGCTCTTTTGAAGATTCGTTCGATGAAACCTGCTGGGGCTCCTCAGATTGGCATAACGACAGCTTCCATCGAGCAGATTTGGCAGCAGGTCAGTAAGTTGTTCTTGAACTGACTTCTCTCCGTCAAATATTGACAGTACGCCAGTTTTGACATAATATTGTATTATAAACTTACCTTTAGAAATATCTGTAAGTTTTGAAGTTATATTTTTGTCTGCTTCAAGAACTTTCACCATTTCAGTTATACCAACTTTCTTTGCTTTATGAAAATATTTTGGTTCAGCAAAGACTGCTATTCTATAACATTTACCATTGTTTGTATAAAGAACTATTCTGTCAATGTATTTGTATTGTTTGTGTGTGTAAACTTTGTTCTGCTTCAATTCGAAGAGATACTCAAATACGTCCATCTTTTTATTCTAAGTAAAATGTCATTTCCGAAAAATAGAAGCGTAAGTGTTTCAAAAGGTTTAATGGCGGTGGCAGATGTGAAGTTAAATTCACCAACTCAAACAAACAGTCAAAGTGTTATTGTCAATGTCAAAGAAAGAGATGTTGAAGTGGGGAAACCATACGAAGACCAAGATGGTATAACAATAGTTCCTGTAAAAGAACCAACATACCCTGAAGTTAGCAGAGACTTAAGTTCTGTTGCAGATATTCGAAATGACTACCAACAACTTAAAGACAAACTTCAAACTCAGGAGAAGATTTGTCAAGCTTTAGGTATAATGTTAAACTTGGTCGAACACAACCCTGTAAAAGTGAACTCATATGTCATTGCACCTCATGAAGTTTTGAAAGAACTATTGAAACTTTTGACAGAGGCAGACGATATAAACATCAAAGAAATAGAACCCGACGTTAGTTGCTGTGGTGTTTCATATAATGTCATTGACAAGATATACGTTATGAAAGGAGGTGAAACGTTGAACTTAAAATATAGTTTCCCAGACGTTATAAAAAATTTGACGACCACAACATTTCATTAAAATTTATTTGCTAAGTAAATGGCAGAAGATATAATGGTTTATACTATTACGACTAAAAACCCTGAGTCATATAATTCTATAACAACAAACTTACAAAGTCCTCAAGGACGATATTGTAAACTAACTTTAAACACAATGACGACTAAAGCCTGTTTTTGCTCTTTGACACCAGAAGATTTTATTGTTGTGAATGGTAAAAATACTCCTTTGAAGATACTTACTCAGATATACCACCAACAGGTTTTGTTGACTTATTTAATACTTAAGTACGGGTGTAACATGTGCTGCAACTAGAGCAGGTTTCATTATGTTTGGATGTCCGACTGAGTTTACTATAAACAATATGAGCTATAATACAAAACTTATATCTGGTTTTTACTACCAACAGTTTCCTATAACAGGAAAAGGTGTCATACAAGGAATGTCTGTTCCATTGACTTTAAGTACACCTATTTTATATATTGTTTCAAACTTAGGTTCAAAGTGTTATTCGAATGTCGACAGAAACTACTATGACCAAAAGATACTTATGCGTATAAACAATACTTTCTCTGCTGGTTTGCCTATTGTTCATTCGAATGCAGAATTTTCAACCTTAGTGAACTCAAACACTTTGGCAAGTATAACGTTGACATTAGTTGACGCAAACTTTGTTCCTGTAAAACTTTTATGTCCTATGTATTTGTCAATGACGGCAGAAAGTTTCGAATTGGAAGATGCAACTGGTGAAAGTATTGTATTACAAGAACAACTTCAACAACAAATAGCTCAAGAACAACAAATGCAACAAATAGCTCAAGAATAAAAAAAATATTTTTTTTTTATTTTTATAAAAATGTACAGAATAGATGTTTCAGATTTTTATGACTTCCAAACATTCAGAAATATGTGTCCATTTCGAGACTATAACAAAGCAGTCGAGAATTTGAAACGTTTAGTCATTTATGTTGACTCTGCCCCAGAATGTTATGTTATGAAAGAATGGGATGTAGTCTTTAACAAACCAAGAGCAACAATAGTTTCAGAACAAGAATGTAGACAGAAACTTAAGAAAATAAAAGTTGTACAAGTTGGCATGAAGATGTTAGATGCTTGGGATATCTTATTGTCAAAGTTAGAAGATTTTTCAGTTCGAGGTATAAAGTTCTATACACCTTCTCCAAACTTCTATTCTATCTTCACTGGATATAAATATGAACAAGTAGAATGGAAAGAAAATATTATAGAAGCTTGGTTAGACCATGTCAAAGAAATTATATGCAATGGAAACGAAAGAGTCTATGAGTATATCTTATGTTGGTTTGCAAACATCTTACAACATCCAAGTGCTAAAAATGAAACTGCTCTCATTATAATTGGAAAACAAGGAACAGGTAAGAACACATTCTTTACAGATATTTTGTGCAAACTGTTAGAAGGTTATTCGAATCCGAATATGACAAACTTAGAAAACATCTGCGGTAAATTTAACTCTTCAATAGAGAATATGAAACTTATAGTATGTAACGAACTTCAAAGTATAGATACAACAAAAGTTTTGAACTCAGATGCTTTGAAGAGTCTTATAACAGACAAAGTTGGAGTTGTTGAAAGAAAATATAAAGACCAAAGAGTTTGTGAAAATGTTGCAAACTTCATTATGGTTTCAAACAATGCTGTTCCGATGAAGTTAGAAAGTTCTGACAGAAGATATGTAGTTGTCAGAACGTCAGATTCTCATATGCAAGATACAGAATATTTTGACGACTTAGCAGAAACTTTGACATCTGACTTTTACAACCACTTGTTCTCATATTTTATGACATTAGATATTTCTAAGTTCAATCCAAGACAAATTCCACATACCGAAGAGAGACAAACATTGTTAGAAGCAAACAAGAGTGTATATGAACTGTTCATAGATGAAACTGACTTTGAGTGTTTAGATGAAAGGTCATTGTACGATTCGTATAAACAATATTGTCAAGAGTATGGTTATATGACAGCGTCTAAACGAACATTCTTGGCAAATGTCAAAAGTCTTTTAGACGTACAGAATGGTGTATATACAAAGAAAAATTTTTCTGAGTAAATTTAAAAAAAAATATTTTTTTATCCGATAGAAAAGATGACGAAATTCATCTCAGTAAACAAGTACATGTCAGGACTTAAAGAAGAACTAGACCCATTCACATATTTGAATGTTTACTTCTACCATTTTGAAAAGTCTTCATTCAGCAAAGTTTGGAACATCGAACCAGTTAAGTTTGCTATTGTGACTAAAAATGGTGCGAAATTTGAAGACTTAGACATAGAAGGTTTGTTAACAGTCAAAGAAAGTTTTGACAGAAGGTTCTCAAACCTTAAAGAAGGCAAAGCATACAAACTTGTTATACCTTATGAACCAAAGAAAGCAGACGACTATGAATATTATGAGTCTAAGATAGTTGAAGTTCAAGGTAAATTGGGTAAAAAGATTTTAGAGTCTAAGCCAGTGTTTGCTCCTAAAGAGGAAGAGAACATTGACATTGACCCAGAAATGTTCTAAAAATAAAATTTTATTTTTACATGTCAAATTTCTTTTTCTCTGGAACTGGTTCTTTCTTCTCTTCTTCTACTTTCTTTTCTTTCTTTTCTCTCTTCTTCTTTTCTGGTGGAGTTATGTCAAACTTCTCAGAACCATATTTTTGTAAAAGTTCTTTGTCCTTTAATAGCTCTTCTATTCTGTTTTCTATTTCATCTTCAAGAACAGCGCATGTGTCTTCTTTGCATTCTAAGAAGTTTTGTTGGACTTCATCTCTCCAAGAGGCGTCATCTCTGTCAACAAGTCTGTCATTGACAAATTTTAAGACTGCTCTGCTTAATGTTTTATGGTTCTTGTCATATTCCCAGAAACAGAACTTTAGAACAAATTCACCTTTCTTGTTTACACTATGTAAGATTTTATGGTCGACAGATGTTTTGCTGTCAAAAAGTTTGTCTCGAATATAGATGGCGAAATCGCTAGACATTTTCAAAAAGATAAAAATTTTAATTTTTCTAAAAATATGTTAGAAAAAAAGTTTGCTGACATTGACAAAAAATTTGAGAATGTTTTAAATAAGAACAAGAGGAAGTTGGAAAATGCTCAGATAAAACCCATACATGACAAGTTCTTATTTGCTCAGAATGGTATAACAGGTCTAATCGCACCGCCTGGGTCGGGTAAGACTTTCACTTATCTTAAAATGGCTGCACAACAACAAGAACTAGATGAGAAGAACCCATTCTATGAGTTAGTTGTCATTTGTAGTACTTCTGGTCAATTTGACCAAACCGTAAATTCGTTCAAAGATATTATAAAGAAGTCTAAGTTAGTATGTATAAAAGACTCTGAGTTGTTAGATTGGATAAAGAAGTACCAAAGAAGAGTTTTGAAGTACAATGCTATAAATGAGTATGTCAATTCGAAGTTTAAAGACCCAAATGAGGAAATGCAGAGAATATTAGAGAAGAAACACTTCAGAAACAAACAGAAAGAGATAGAATACATTTCGAAGAAATTGCAATCTTACGATTGGAAAACGTACCCTCATAGATGTCTTCTTATCTTAGATGACTTTGCTTCTCATCCTTTGTTAAAGAACAGAGAACAAGACATGTGTCGAATTCTTAAGAAGCTCAGACACTTTAACATCTCTGTTGTCATTTGTGTACAGACAGCAAAGAGTTTAAGTAAGGATGTAAAGAGAATACTTACTGACATTGTACTTTTCCCCGGATTGTCCGAAGACGATTTCATGGAACTTATGAAAGAGTCCATGGCAGGTAAGTTTGACAGACATGAACTATGGGAGAAGTACAAAGTCATACAAGACCCTCATACTTCTTTCAGAATTCATATCTACGCAAACAAAGTTCAAATTGTAAAAAGTCAAGCTTGAAAAATGTAAGTGTTTAGTCTTAGTCTGTTGTGGTTCTGCAGCTTTCGGTTCTTCTGGCTTTGGAATGGACTCGGTTGGTGGTACGTCACTCATCCGTTTGTGTCCTGTCGGAAGGAAGGACTTTTCCTGTCGGAAGGAAGGACTTTTCCTGTTGGAAGGAAGAGTTCTTCCTGTCGGAAGGAAAATTTTTTCCTGTTGGAAGGAAAATTTTTTCCTGTTGGAAGGAAAAATTTTTCCTGAAGGTCGGCCAAAAAGTTCTCAATTTTCGAAAATTTGAATGGTTTACGGACGGACAACTGGAAAAATTTTTCCTGTTGGAAGGAAAATTTTTTCCTGTTGGAAGGAAAATTTTTTCCTGTTGGAAGGAAAATTTTTTCCTGTTGGAAGGAAGAGTTCTTCCTGTCGGAAGGAAATTTTTTTCTTGTCGGAAGGAAGGACTCGGAATGTCGGAAGGAAGGACTCGGAATGCCAGAAGGATTTGACAAGACAATTTACCATCTAGAGCTACCTGAGCCATCTTTGGTGTCAAGCTTGAAAAATAAATGGTTCATTTACTCTACTTGTTTGAAGTTGTCAAAATACTCTGTTATTTTTTCTTTCAGTAGCGGTAAGTCTTCTTTGAATGTAAGTATTGTACAACCTTTAATATCATAGTGTGTTTGATGTAAAGTATCTTGAACTATTTGTTTCACATCTTCATTCGGTGTCATTGAAATCGGTAAGTTTTCGCGATAGAACCAATTTCTGTTAGATTTGTAAATCTTAGCAAGGTCGTAAAAGCTTTTGTTGTTTCTTCTGACTAAATGCAACATAACCATATCTTTATCTTCTTCATTTTCCATCTCTTCAGTATAAATCATATACTTATAGTTCTTTTCCTTTCCTTTTGGTACCGAACGTGGTATTCTTTTCTGTATGTTTTTGTCTTCTTTCATCATATCTTCTCTCTGCTTTGTACAAAGTTCGTCAAGTAGCATAAGTATGTAGATTGCATAACGAGGTGAAGCCCACATTGCTATTGAACTAACTAGGAACTTATGAACATATATACCTTTTAGATATGATGGTAAGTTTTGTCTGTCTTGGTACATCTTTTTAAGTTCTACATGTTCGAACTCACTGAGGAGTTCTTGTGTGCTTTGGTTTCTGAACCAGTCGTCTGCGTGTTTAGTATCTGGAGCAAAACATGCTGTCAAAATACTTTGCATTTGGTACATGTCATCCTTGACCGAACGAATGAGACGGAGTTGTTTGTTTAACTGAACCCACTCATATTCTTCATTTATGTCTTCATGAACGATAGCAGTTGTTGTGTTCTCGGTTGTTGACATATCTGTCTTTACATACAAAATAAAAAAAATATTTTATAAAAAATTAGCGTTATTTTTTTATTTTCACAAAAGACCAAAAATAAACGCTTTACATGTATTTTTCAGCAACTTCGTCAAATAATTTTATAGCACTATCTATCTCATCTACTTCAAACGTTTCTTTACCTTTTATGGGAGCACCATACATTTTCTCAAACTTTTCAAGTAGTTCTGTTTCAGCAGCTCTCATATCGTTAACAAACGCAACCTTGACTCTATTGACTATACTGTCATATCTTTGAGTTATATTATATGTTCTTCCTATCTTATATCTCTTTGTATTGAAGTCCTTTGGTTTCTGAACGATGTAAAGTAAGCCTTCACTGCAACGTTCCGTATCGAATGAACCATATGTTATGAAGTTATATCCAACAACTGGGTCTAACCATAACAAAACTATTGGTATAAGACTTTTGTCGATGAGATATGCTGCAGTTCCATAGAATCTTACAGATATCATCAGCTCAGGATTTCTTGTCAAAATATTCTGAGTAGAAGCATTTTTAACCCAATGGGATGTTTTCTTTCCAAATGGAGATAAAATGTCTGACAAAGAATATTTCTTGTATTTCTTTGAGTATCTTACGTTTAAATCACCAATTCTAACCATTTTGGTGTCATTGTCTATCTTTTTAACTGTTTCAAACTCAGTGTTTGTCATTTTCTGTTTCTTACATACAAAATAAAAAAATAAAAAAAAATAAAACTAACTTTATTTTTTCTATCTTGTATAAAAGATATGATTTCAGGGATTTTTTTTACGAAGTGTCAAAGTTCTCTTCGTAAAAAAATAACAGTTATATAATGAAATTTGGTCATTTTTTCACGATTTCAGGGATTTTTTTTTACGAAGTGTAAAAGTTCTCTTCGTAAAAAATAACAGTTATATAATGAAATTTGGTCATTTTTTCACGATTTCAGGGATTTTTTTTACGAAGTGCAAAAGTTCTCTTCGTCAAAAAAATACAGTTATATAATGAAATTTGGTCATTTTTTCACGATTTCAGGGATTTTTTTTACGAAGTGTAAAAGTTCTCTTCGTCAAAAAATAACAGTTATATAATGATTTTTGGTCATTTTTTCACGATTTCAGGGATTTTTTTTTACGAAGTGTAAAAGTTCTCTTCGTAAAAAATAACAGTTATATAATGAAATTTGGTCATTTTTTCACGATTTCAGGGATTTTTTTTACGAAGTGCAAAAGTTCTCTTCGTAAAAAAATAACGGTTATATAATGAAATTTGGTCATTTTTTCACGATTTCAGGGATTTTTTTGACGAAGTGCAAAAGTTCTCTTCGTAAAAAAATAACGGTTATATAATGAAATTTGGTCATTTTTTCACGATTTCAGGGATTTTTTTGACGAAGTGCAAAAGTTCTCTTCGTAAAAAATAACGGTTATATAATGAAATTTGGTCATTTTTTCACGATTTCAGGGATTTTTTTGACGAAGTGCAAAAGTTCTCTTCGTCAAAAATAACAGTTATATAATGAAATTTGGTCATTTTACTCGGCAAAAATATATTTTAGGTGGAACCAGGTCCCTCGGTCCCTCGGTCAACTAACATCTTTTTGAAAATGGTGACAACATGACATTTTGACAACAACACAGGCAGTTATGACTTCTTCGTATATGTTTCACAAGCGTTTTACATGGTATATGTTGTGATGGTTCATGACTTTAAACAGTTTTGTAGCTTCTATTTCTTCACGAAGGATATCAAATGTTTTAACAATGCCGAAGGTTTCTTTATATTTCTTCTTGACATCTGAAAGAAGGAAATCGTCAGCAGTTGGATAGTTTTTGTTCAGAAATGTCAACATGTCCATTTTATCTTCTGCTGGTTTCTCTACTTCTTTCTTTAAGTCAGCATAGTCGTTTCTCATACGTTCTATCTCTTTGACGGAGTAGTTATATTTCTTCATTGCTGCTTTACATTTTGAACATTGTGGGTTCATTTTAGCATTGTACATTGAAACCCTACCTGCAAGTATGACTAAGGCGTAAATGGTTTTCTTTAACTCAAAAGTTGCGGGTTTTATTTGTCCGTTCCATACTTTACCTCTTCTATCTTTATCTCTTATCTGCCATACACATTCAGCAACTAACGAAACAAAGTTGTCGTAGGTCTTAAACTCCTCCGATTTATATATGTCAATGAAATATACCATATCGCAGTCTTTGTGGTTGCAATGAAATCCAAGAAACTCATAGTTACTCTTACGTATGAACTTCTTTATTTCAACTGAGTCAGTTGGTCTGACTTCTATTTCATCGAATTCAGGAATAGTGAGCTTTTGTTGTTGTATTTCAGGAAGTTTAGGTAGATGGTCAATAATATCCTGCATTTCATAAAGATACTGTTCATTTGTTTCATCTTTTGCACTACAGTTTAAATCTCCTTGGAGAAGTTCCTGCTTTATCTTCTGGATTTCTGTTTCGAAAGTATATGAAGAAGGAATGAAGCTTTTCATCTCTACTAACATAGATGTTGGATTCATGACTAACGAGTTTGGTGCTGTTGTTGCTAACATGTTCTTACAATAAAAATAAAAAATATTTTT